TGACTTACTGATAAAGTGCATTAGAGTGGATACGGCGTCCAGTGTAGATCTGTTTGGTTTATATGCAAACTTGAAGGGGGTCGTGAGGAATTGTGGCGTCTGACTGCAAGTAACTCAAGATGGATTTTCATTCACTTCAGATGCGCTGAGTTTAACGCGATAGGACGAAACGGTTTCGCAAGAACAGTTGAGGACGTGGATTTGTGGATCGGAATAATGGTCACTGGACGCCAAGAATGAGGAATCGACCGGGAATATAAGAACTCATTGAAGACGGATGGCATCATATTGGTTAGGGAAGCAGCTTCAAACTTCAGAAGTACCGGAGGAAAACCATCAGGGCCTGCAGCTGAGGATGCTTTGCAGGATCGAGGAACCTTAGAGGTTAAATCGTTGAAAAAAGGGCACTGAATTGGATTCATTGCATGCGAATGAGCGCATTGGGCTCTCTTTTGACAGATGAATGAAAGCGGCGGTAAGATTGTAACCGTTAGAGTTCAACCACCATGACAAGTAAAAAGCCACTGCTTTAGTTGTTCTATGAATTTCACTATTGGTTTGAAGACTGTGCCATCAAATAAAATATGCATTCAACACCGTCATTGGTTAATTCATTATTGTGTATGAAATTACCATTGAATAAACGTAGCGCATGATGGAAACCCATAGATTTTTTTCTGACTACATAAAATGATGCGTTACGAAGTTGTTTACAGACATCATGCATATGATGGTATTGTCAATGATGTTGTAAAAGAACTATCTAGAGAATGTTTTCCGTTGGGTTACTTTGGCCCCAATAAGCTTAGTGTATTCTCTGTGTATCAACCGAGCTGGACGTTTGCAGACACAAATAATTCTTAGAATATAGGATATGGATAGGCTTATTCGATTGCTCAGAGGAAGCAGGCACCCTCAATGAAAATAGATTGATCTATTCGCACAAATTGATGATCGTTGAGCGTGTAGCACAGGGGTAAGGATTTGAAGTCCAAACTCGAAGATTTGCAGTTCCAGTCCTGGCACGGGGTCACAAAAAGTACGCACTGTGGACAAAACCCAAAGAGGACAAAACAATTGATCAGTGCTCGTTGTGTCGGTTATCACAAACATTTCCATCACATTTACAATCTACTTGTCATGATTTTTCAACCGCGAAATAGTTACCGGTTTCTTCTTTAAAACTTTTGTTCCATTTCGGATAGATCCTGTTTGAAGAAAACTCCTTTTGCATTCGTTTTCCAGTTGCAACCGATCTGCTGCTCGCTTTGTCTGGAATCAGACGGTTGAATTCTACTCATGTGTCTCGAAAACTCGAAACCGGAAAACTTGCTTTTCACGAACGACGATAGGTCAACATAAGACGACTGGCTTTCCCCACCACACATCCACAGTATTCAAGTGTGTGTGATGTATGTGTAAACGGGCTTGTGGCGTGTAATCACCCAGTGCAATTTGACACATCGTTTCGTCGGATGAAAGTACAGCTGAATTGCACCTAAACATTCTACTCAGCGGTGTTTTCGTGAATCACCTGAAACCTGCTGGAAACCCGGAAATTCGTAGTAGTAGTAGTAGTAGTAGTAGTATGCAATGAACACGAATCACTGATTAGGAGTCACGGACGTCACGTAAGCATTGGACCACACTGGCACTTGCACGCAATATGCCACGTAACCGAGACAAGAGGAGAAGGGCCACAGGAGTAGTAGTTCGTTTATTGAAAGAAATCAAGGGGATAATAATATGTACAAAACAAACTCATTGGTCATCCGGGCGTCTGCCAATCGCGTGCTAGCATTTCTGACGTTGTTTAGCTTCTGTCTAGGTTACACGGCTTTTGGTTGGCTGGAAGAACCGACTTATGGCATATCGTCCAGAAGCTGTGACACGTGCGCACTTTGCTGACGTCACCCGTGAAGCTTGATTGATCACAGTTGTCATAAAAATGTAACGCGTCGCTCCAGGCAATGCGTGATCTCGCAGACTCGGATCACCACAAACCCCTTTCCAGAAACGTGTTCGTGGTCACGCGCACAGTTCAAAACATTTAAGAAATCATACATGAGGACTTCTTGTAAGCGTTCCGATTTTAGAAGGTGTCTCATAGAAACTTTGGGAAAAATTCCCACTTACCAGTTTTCGGTTTATCTTGATTCATGTATTATTGTTTCCTGATGAAAACCCGTAATATGCACTGCTAGAACATCCGATACTTACCATCTTGATGGAATTGAATGAAACCCCTTTTGAGTCCCCGTGGATCATCTGTTTCGTCAGTCTGATCTTCGGTCCACAGCGTGGAAGTCATTTTCAGGCGTTGTTGTTGGTTCACCTCGATGGCGGTGTTTACGTCGTTTCGGTTATGGCCGAACCACCTAATCTTATTCTCACACACACTACCTATACTGTACCCCGATTTTTATCCGTAGACTGAAAGAAAAAGATATCACTTTATTTTCGACATCCTTTAAACTTGAACAGTGGAATTCATCGATTTGTGTTGATTAATTTCTTTATTTCCAAGCATCTTGACCCTTGTGATACCTTTACTGACAGGATAACACGTGATCATCAAGGACAATGTCTGCACCAAGATATCACAAAAACCCTGTCAAATCTCAGAACTCGTTCGAAATAGCAACTCCTTCCTGCACGTACTTTTACCAATCGATACAGTGTAATTTCATATCTAGCTCGATTATTGATTAATTGTCAGATTATTTTCAACCGACTGAGGTTGAAACTCTTGCACTAGTTTTCTCTCCAATTTGCTACAGTGTAGAATTTCCTATATTGTCATTTTTGTATTTAGTTTTATATATCCACTGTGAAAGCGCATAAATTGCGGACAATTCACCCTTTAGGTGCATTAAGCGTCACTTGATTTGACAAGACTGAAAATTAATATAAATGATTGCTCTGCAATATTTTACAGCTTGGATTGAGTTGATTTATTTGATTTTTCAAATCCCTAAAAATGTGCACGCATTGTTTACTGCCCGAATCTTGTCTATCCCCTTGATGTGTACCTCACGGGTTTCGGTCGTACACCGATTTAAGTGATCGTGAAGTGTCTAGTGGGTTGACTATGCTGTTCAGTTGGATTTCAGTTTTTACAACCATTAACCATGCACTTTCGTGCGCCGGTTTTGATTGCTGTCTTTTGGTTGAGTGGATGCACGAGCGCCACTGTTTGCGACACCCAGTCATATCACTCAGTGCCCCTATCCATCGGTGACCATGATCTCGAGGATTCCAGACACGGAACCCAACGGGACTTATGTAACCCAGTCTCTTGGTTAGGGTTTGGACACCCTCATCCCAGGTCCGTGTTTGACCGCTCTTGATCTCTTTAAGGACCGCTACCTGCCTCGTCAAACATCGCTCGCCATGGCAACCTATCTGATGAAATGCGTAGCGCATGCCCCCATCAACGTAATCTTCAAAGATCGATCACTTGCTCCAGTGGGCAACCGGGGTTGCCTTAAAATTTGCGTCTGACCTCAGCATTGCTCCAGGATCGTGCAATGCTATGTTGACACCGAGTTCCATGTGATACCCATCATTTCCACTAGTAAACTTAGCTAATTTCGTCGACCACGTGTCACATTATTCATAGACCGCTTACCTTCTAATCATCTCATCCTTCAACCTCATAATGCATCTCATAGGGAAACAAAATTATTGCCACATTTCTGCTGTGAAAAGATTGTCAGTCTGCGCTGGTTTTGATCTCGATCAGCTGCGTCGGCTAAGTGTCCAGGTTGATCCGCATGATTGATGCTTGGTTCGTGCGTTGTAGTGACTTCAGACCGATAGTGTAACATGCTCGGGAGTTGTCTCCATCTTCGGTCTGCCTGGTCCGCATGTATGCTATCGCATGGTTGCAGGCACTGGTTGTTTGGGGCAACTCGCTTGTGTATCCTTCTTTTTTTGTAACATAGATTTCGCCAGGATCATCATCGATATACTAAGACCGCTTCTTCAGCTAAGTCTTTCATAGTTGTTTAAGTCACTGTCACCCCCGGTGCGTGAGTTCAGTGCAACACTTTGGCTCGCTAAGCTTTTGGTTTTCAGACACTCTCAGGCTAAACTTCTGGTACCTTCCGTGACAAATAAACTTTCCCTTGACTAATCAATCGTTCCTTCTTACACCTATAACGCTATCGAGAACCGTGGGTGATTAGAGATCGGATCACTTTCGCAGGTAGACCCATAGAACGCCTCCGTCTCTAAACGAATCACTTGAAAACGGAGTTGAAATTGCTACCGTTATCAGTCAGAATAGTTTTTTTGTCTATTACTTATTTGGTCGGTATTTGAAGTACGACAATATAGGTTACAGATCATAGGACTCAGACCTATCATTCATGTTCTTCAAATCAATAGGACTGAGCGAATTTGTGGCAAACTGCATTCGGTTCTCAGTTTACCGTTTATTTGTGCTCACAATCTTGTTTCTCATAATGGATGTCTGCCCCACCACCACCACCACCACCACCACCACCACTTCCCTACATTTTCCACCTTCCGGATATAACCAAGGACACGGACGGGATGGACGAGGTGCGCGGT